AGCAGGAGGCTACGAAGGGAGCTACATGTACAGACTCCCAGAGCAATCAGTTGCTCAGGAGACCTCCTCCCCTCCTATGGGTTCTCAAAGCCCCTTTTTTAACAGGAGGAGCCAGCAGCTTACGGAGGCCTCGGAACACATCTCCCTCAGCATCAGCCAGGGTCTTCCCTTGCTCAAAGGTGATGAGTTTTGAAATTTCTTTCTGGAAATGGAAAACATGAAGTTTATGAACGTTAGAAAAGTGCCTGCCCATGAAATAGGGTGCAGGGCTAACACAGTTTAACAGAGTTGAACATCACAATGAACAGACTGAGCAGAACCTGGAAAAGCCTGCACGGACTGATTTGCTCCTTGTAGACAAGCCAATAAGCCACACAGGTGACATTTTAGAAAAAAACAACTGTGGGTTGGCTTGTACTCTACAGCTTTCAAGTGTCACACCACAGACACACCGAAAACGCAATCAGAAATCCAAAGACATAGTAACATACTTCTCCCACTTGTCTTTATCAACTGGCAAGTTCTCCATCAAGGCTGAAAGTTCCTCTTGTGGTCTTTTGGTAAAGGGACAAATGCAGAATAATATTCCCTAAGAAGCACTGCCTCTCCGTCCCTATTTGATGGAGACTGCTTTGCTACAACTCTTAATGACAGTGTCTCAGTTGGCTCCTCAATCATGGCGACAACGCCTCATCAAGAACTCTGTAAACCCTGAGTCTCAGGTTTAATTCCTAAAGTCAACGGCAACGCATTCAGCAACAGCCATCACACAAAGCCGTGGTGTCTCACCAGATTGTCTTTGATGAGTTGTTGATAACGCAGGAAGATTTGCTGGCGACTCAAAACAGATGTTTCTGACCAGTTCCAAAAAGCCTTTTTGCAAGAAGCCACAGCTGCCTCCATCTCACTGGCTGTGGCTTTTGGTACACGGCCAACCACTTCATTTGTGGCCTGAAGGAAAAAACAAACTGCATCAAAACTCAACTTTTTCCATCTGCCCCTGCCGACCACTCAATGGTCCTTTCACACCACCCACCTCATATCCTTGTTCTACAAGGAGCTGTACTTCTGAGGGGAGAGCACAAAAGAGACTACTTCCTTCGTGCACACAAAAGGCCTGGGCTACAACTGGAATAGTTCTGAAAACCTGCACTCTACACATCTCAAATTAGGCACCCAGAAAGCTGCAAGTACAGTGCTGATTTCCAAGTGGGAGTTGAAGTGACTTGTCTGTCTTGAAACTTCTAGTGAGTATAAGGCAAAGGTTTCTGTGGACTCTGGTCTCTTCCCTCTGCATCATCTTGGCCCATCTGCTGCCCCTCTTGCGCATTAAATGAGGCAAGGTTCCTTTGGAAAAATCAGTATATGACTGTGCAATTGACACTGATGTTAGTTTACCTAGACTACTAGGCCAAAGTAAGATTTTTACAAGCAACCTTAGTTCTACGGTATATTAACTTTAAAAGCCTGTCTTTGCCAGTTTAACCTTCTTCTAATGCACTCTTAAAAATTAAGTCTGCTTTGACATGACAAAAACATCAGGTACATCACTAAAAGAGAAACTACTCAAAACAAGAGAAAGTAAATGAAACAAGAACATTGGTCACCCCATAGGGACCAAATGAACTTCAGGAACACGGCTCGCTGCTCTGATCACTTCCACAAAACCAATCAAAATAGGGCTTTTCAGAGAAAAGTTTTAGAAACTGCTGTCCAAATGTGTACTGGGGGAGTCAGAAGGGTCAGAATTCTGAGTGCAACCTCATTTCCATTTGTCTTTGGAGGAGGATTCAGAGAAGTACAAGTGCTACTAATCTAAGATTATTTTGCACTGCATAGCATCCAACCTCTAAATTCATTGTGAATACTGTGGCTCACAGATAGAAGCTCTCTGAAAGGAGAGGAGCTTCAGCTGTCAGGGTTTTGTTACCTTGGTCTGAGAGTGAAATCAGTCTCTATCAGGACTCCACATTCAGCTGGCATCAAATCACCCCTGGTTGATTTCACATACAGGGTGACAGAAACCCTTCAGAAATTAGACATACTGATCACAGAGGCTTTCTATGAGCAAAAAAAATGTAAGTGGAGATCAGGGCTTTACTACACAGGGTACATAAAGGAGGTCATCACTTTCCTAAGACTGACATTTCATGTGAAAAGGAAATTGAGAAGCAATTACGCAGTACTAAATCCATCTTAAGCTCCAAGTCTAAACCTTTCTCAAGAAATGTATGTACTTTCCCCTTTTGCCAGATGCTTGAACAGAGGCACAGACCCTTGTTGCACAGTGATTGCTAATATATAAGCCGAGACTATGTCACTTACCGGGTTGTGGATATCAATCCATTCAGTAGTTTTGGACTCAACAAACTTCCCATCAATGAAGAGTTTGGTTGTTGGCTGTGGAGGACAAAACACTGGACGGTGAGTGATCTTTGTCTCAAAGTGCCTAAATACCAGTGTGCCTTATTACAGGAAAGCCTTCATAATTTACCGCTATGCTGCCCACGAGAGAGTCTAGATCCAATATTTACAGCAAGACCCAGCTAACTGCTTAGGTTGAAATTTTTCATGCTCTCTGGCCCATTTTTCTCTCACTTTACACCAAAATTCCTTCTAAAAGCAGTTATAGAAAAAATACATTGCTATGCTTATGTTCAAAACTCTTTCAATCTACTTAATCACCCAATGTTTACTAAGTTAGAAAACTGAAAAACCCCAATTCATAAATGTTCAGAAGAACCAGTAGTAATCCACCTTGTGAATTCCACATACCCAGTGCACACTGTACTATATGTTTCTTTCCCATTAAGCCACTAAGTAGGTTCATCGCTCCAGCTTATAGCTACAGGCAGAAAATTGGACGTTCCCCGCTCCCCACTCGGTCCTGCAACTAAGAGCAAGGCACCTGCATCTGCTGAGTTCACAGTGACTGTCCTGGCAGGCAGCAGAGAAACTCAGACGCAGAGGAGAGAAAAGGAAAGTTTGGCATAAGGAGTTCAGGTAAACGTAGGGCAGAAGGAAAAGCAGAGGTAGAAGCTACAACTAGCACTGGATAGGCAACAAAACTGTATCGTGCAGGAAAACAGATTGGGACGGTATAAATTAAGAAACTAGGAGTTGATATCGGGAGGTAAGGAGAGAACTAGGACAAAGCAAGAACCAGTTAATCATGCCACAAAACAGTGGCTTGGGGACAACAGATAAGAGGAACGGGAAACGGATCTGCTGTGTGAAGAACAGAAATGGGACAGATCAACAGAAATGGGATATAAACCCAAATATGTCAGGGAACTCTGAAGAAATTAGAGTGTGGAATGATGAGAGGGAAACGAGGACTGGGATGCTATCCAAGGTGTAATGAAGGGAATGAGATCAGAGTAAGACTCAGGAATATAAATGGTGTTGGCTGGACAAGTAATGACAGTGAAAAGTGGATAAGAGTGAAAAAAGTGAACAGCAATGAGAGCTGGGACAAGCTGAGAAAGCTTAGAGATGAGAAAGCTAGGATGAGAAGTGTAAAGTAAGACTGTTGATGGATAAGCAAGACCTAGTGATTTGGGAGGTAACACCAGGAGTGAATCAAAAATAAAAAGCTGCAGATGACTATGTAGCTGGAATTACACTTGGGAAAGAGAGGCAGAAGTCTGTGCCTACGAAAACACAATCCCCTCTAGAACCTGGAAGGAAGCGCAGGAAATCTGAGTCCCTTGACTGAGTCTCCTGGCTGTCAGAAAAGGTCTTCCAGGGCTGGTCTAAAGAATGACAGACTCCTACTGCTATCAGTCGCTCCATTAGCCCAAGTGCCACGTATCTGCAGCTACAAGCTCCAGTGCTTTATGACCCACGTGGCCTTCAGTGCGATGGAACTTACGTTTTTTCAAATTGCTTAAAGGGGATATCTAGAAAATTGACATACAAAGAAAAAATATTTTAAGCAAGCCAGGAAATGCTGAATTGATCGCACTTTTTCCATAAGATCACCACCTTTTTCCTGCAGAGAATGAGCCTGCTGTGGGAACAAGGACTGTAGTAAAGCAGGCTATTCGGAAAATCATGATTTAGCTGTTCAGAACTTGGAGAGTGTACAGCCACGGACACCGGAAGAAAAAAGGCACTCTGACAGTTTTGTTCGACACTGCCCAAAGGAAGTCAGATCCTCTCTCTGCCATAAATAGACGGTATGAGGCCAGTCCACACAGCTTGAAACAATCTTTTTCCACACATTAGCATTAGTCATATATTCTATATTCATTTTTGCTGATCTTATTGAAGAAGTATTACACACGGTAAAAGAAGTCTAAAAACCGAAACAAAAAGGCCGGTGTCTATGTGGCACAGTGCGTGCTACTGGAGGAACACGGAGAACACAAATCGGGACGCGATTAACTGAAGCGCCCGTAGGTTGTACCTGCTGAGGCCGGCCGGGCTCGCAGCAAGCAGCGGCCTGAGCCGCCCCGTGAGCGGCTGCGGCGCGGGGGGCTGCCCCGGCGGCCGCT